CCCCAAAACCCCAAAACCCCACAAATTTATTTTTAAAGAATTGCCAAAAGAATTATAATTAGTTTATTTGCTTATTAATACAATAGGATATTTTAATTACGTAATTAAATCTTAAAGTATTTGAATGGAATAAATATCACAACAACATTAACTATCAGAGAAATCCCTTTCCAATTTAAGTTAAAATATGACTTTCCAAATGTTTTGTAATGCTCTCTTTAACAGTAAGTGTGCCTTAACTGAACATGAAGTCTATGAAATGGAAAGTAATGACTAATTTGAAATAAGAGAGATCAGGGAAGAAGACTTTGAATAATTCTAAAATCCAATGCTCGGATAGATTCACAATACTGATGCAATACCAAGGGACTAGTATGAAATAAATATTTAGTATGGTGCTGAATCTGGAAAATAATTGGTAGTTGTAGCGATTGAAAGAAAATCTGAAAAGCTGGTAGGAATAATCAAAGGAACAATTAGCATTGATACTGAAAATGGTCCCCAAAAGGTAAGTATAGGATCTTATAATAACATAATACAAAGAGGGTGATGTTTGATGGCTTTGCAGTTCTGAAAGAATATCAAGGATAGGGTGTAGGAATAAGAATTTTCAAAGCTATTTAAAGAGTGTCACTACTGAGAGACGTTAATTTCTTTGAGCTTTGTTGCACTGAAAATGTTGAAAAATTCTATCATAAGGTATGGAAAAAATACTAAGTTTAATTTAAGCTATATAGTTGGGATATTAAAAAGCACCCTATTTTTTCACATTTGTAAATCCATAAAATCTGATAGAAAAAAGCAAAGATTCGTAATACTAGGAAGATACTTCTTAATAGATTGAAGTTAAAACCAGTTTATAAAGATTTGACAATCTTTTCAGAGTTTTGAAAGGAACTAACTTTGAGGCTGTTAATGTTGAAGTTGATACCTTTCTCGAAAGTGAGTCTGATGAATCTTATAATTATGAGCATACATAAATCGAACCATTAGATTTTCCATTAAAAGAAGAAATACATCAGTATTTAGAGCAATCTCAAGAATAATTTATTATATTAGCTAGAAATAAATAGGATTAAAGTGTATCAGCTTATATAAAAACTGATCTAAGTTTTGGATTTCCTAGGAAAAACTATTTGGTAAATTTTCTTATTTTTCAATTTCAAAATAGTATTGTTTTGGAGCTGAGGCTAAATTTTTAATTGACTTGAATGATGAGATGAGAATCAAGCTAGGTAAATAGTTTTATAAAATCCAATTTTAGAGGACAAGTTAAACGATTTGTGAATAAAAATTTGTTATATGAAGAGAATCGATTTGATATTTATGTTGACTCCTGTTGATTATAAAAAATACGAGAAGGTATGAATAATTAGGCTCTTAAAATCTTTAGTTTGGAATCTTATAAACAGAAAACTAATGGAACTTTAAGACTTAAATTATTCCACTCAATAAAAGTGAGAATAATCAATACTAACTATTTGAAAAACTCATTGATTAAGGGTTCACTTGGCCAGTAATTGCATTGCTTGTAGAGAAAAATGATTAGCAATAGAACTTTGAAGAAATAAAGCACCTAATTTAGTTATCAGGAGCAAAGGCGATAAAAGTATTTTATGATAAAGAAAATCTTGATATGCTAAAAGACCTATTAACTCAAATTAATGCAGTTATTATTCTATCAAGTCATAGAGAATCTGAGCTTACAGATTTAATTTAATAGATAGGTAGGATTTAAACATCTAATCTTCATAAGATTCCAATAATTGTATTTAAAGCTACAAAGCTAATGCTAGGAGAAATACTCACACAAAATCAGAGCTAGATTGGTGATATAATAGTTACTGAAAATCACCAGAGCAGATTTGTTCATAATATTTTGTCTTTACTAAGTCAGGACGAAGAAAAAATTCAGACTATTCAATTTAAGAGTCAGAAATGTGGAGTTTTAACATCCCAAACTATTGAAGAAGATGACTAAGTTATAATACATGAGGATGAAGAGAAAAATGTTATTTCAATACATCAGATAGATGCATAGCACTTATTTAGAGTTATGAACCTAGATAATCTGAATTCAAAAGATTTCCAATTATTCAAGGAATTAAGCAAGTATCTATATATGCTAGCGATTTAGAATAAAAATAAATTTACTAATCAAAGCCTGATTAATTAGTATGTATTTCTTCCTTGAGATATTCAGGGAAATGATTTGTCAATCGCATTTGATTTTAATATAACTTGTATTAAAAATTTCAAAGCATTAATTCATATTGATAATATGTTTAATTTTAGAAGCATGGGGTTTTGGGGTTTTGGGGTT